TACACCATGGCTATGTCTACTCTAAAAACTTTGTCGCGCCCAAGGATCGTATCTGCTTTTTCAAAAAAAAAAAAAAAAAAATCGGAAAAGCAGACTCATTTTTTTTGGCATCCTTGTAAACCTTGTTTACCAGGAGGAAGGGATGTTCTGAAAGAGGATTTTTTTCTGACATTTGGCCTCGTGTAGACGGGCTAAATGTTGGGAAAGCCTCTTTCAGAAGAAAAGCAGAAAAAGTTATGCAAATTGCAGTTCGCAATTTGCATATCTTTTTCCGACTTTTCCCTGCAGTATAGACATAGCCCATGTAAAAGAAACTATTTGCCATGAGCGAGTAGATTGCATTATTTGTTGAGCCCTGTAAACTAGAATACTATTTATGTTAAACTGAAAGATAAATGAATCAACATGATTAGTAAGAATGATTAAATGTGGAGTAAATAATGCACAAGGAAAAAAATTATGAATTTACAATGCCACCGGACAAGAGAGCACATGGTTCTCTAACTACTGAAACCTTTACTGGTGAGCTAACGCTCATGCAATGACATCATAGTAACATAAATCTGGTAAATTTTAATTTTATTTTATCATTTCAACACTCACTCAAAAATATTTAAAAATTAAACAAAAGTCCAGAATTTCTATTATTATTGAACATTATTGCAATTAAAACAGAAAGGAAAGTATATGTTAAGTGGTATTTGTTAACATTAGGGGTGTGTCTAGACTACGGGGTTTTTTCGAAAAAAGTGGCCTTTTTTCTAAAAAACTATACCTGCGTCTACACTACCACCATGTTCTACACTACAGTAAGTCGATAGAACGCGGCAGTTTTGTCAATGGCGGTAAACCTCATTTTACGAGGAATAATGCTATTTTCGACAGAGTTCTGGCTTCTACCACTTGCACCTCATCCCCCATTCCCTGTGCCTGGTCCTGACTGTCCCCCTTATCCACCTGCCCCCGCCCCCATAGACTGTCCCCCGAGAGCGACTTACCTCCATCGAGACAGTCCCGACAGTAGACCTCCCCATGCCAAACTGATGTCCCACGGAGCGGTAGCTGTCAGGGTGGCCAGCTTCCACAGAGCAATAGCGACATGCTTCTCCAGAGGGATGGCGGCCGCAAGTGGGTGTCCTGGCATTAGCAGGGCAGGGGCAAGCCAGGCACAGAGCTCCTGGAAGGTGGACTTCCGCATCTGGAAGTTTTGAAGCCACTGGTCATTGTCCCACTGCTCCATAACAAGCCGGTCCCACCAGTCTGAACTGGTGTCCAGCTTCCAAACTCGCCTCTCCAGGAATAAGTTTGGTTGCAAGGGCAGTGGGGCTGCATCCCAAGTGAGGGGCTCAAAGCTGGGCTCTGAATCCAGCTCTGCCACAAACATCACGATGGTCTCATGAAGATGCAGCAGAACTTCCAGCATCACAGTGTAGGGCCATCACCTGCCCAGGGGCAGCTCAGGCTCCATGGCCAAAAACACAGTGAAAAGCACAAAAACAAACCTGAAAACAAAATGCGGTGGTGTCCGAGGAAGCAGGGCAGCCAGAGCAAGAACTGCAGCAGCTTTGCTTTCCCTCTAGGAGGTAGGCAAGCCAGAAGCAGGAGCTTAAAATAAGGGATAAGGGATCTTTCGGAAAAGGCTTTATTTTCCGAAAGATCCGCGTCTAGACTGGTGCTTTTTTCCGGCAAAGCTCCGTGCCGAAAAAAAAAGCAGCAGTCATTTTTATGCTAATGAAGCGGGGGAGATTTAAATCCCCGCTTCATTAGCAATTGCGAGACCTCTAATTTGCATCCCTTTTACGAAAAAGGGATGCAATCTAGTGTCAGCCAACGGTCAGGGCTCCCTATATCTGTCCCTTAAGACCGGCTGAAGTGCTTTTAAATTGTGCTTGGTTCTGTTACAGCAACTGAAGGCCTGTCATGATAGACATGGATTTTAGTGGTATAGAGAAAGGGTTTGCCCAGGAAGGTTGGGGCAACCCAAAATGGGATAGAAAAACATTAGAAAAGGATTGGGGAAATCCTGAGGAGTTGTGGGTGCAGTTCTGTAAGTATAGAACTGCCTGCAAGCTAAAGAATGGGACAAAGCCTGAGTCTGTGGAAAGGAGCCACTTTCCATTTAGCAAGGAAAACAGGATCAGGCCCAGGCAAGCAGGCCGAAAAAGGAAACAGGATCAGGCCCAGACAAGCAGGCAGGTAACAGATAAGATTGAAAGCCTTGTGGTAGAACTGAGAAAAAGGCTGTAAGTACTGGAAATCTAAGTCCTTAAGCATACTTACAAGAGTAATATCTGAAACAAGGCCAGTTTTTATTTTAGAGATAAGAAAGTGTTTTAAGAAAAGAGAATCAGAGAATTTAAACTCTGCAGAGAATGGAGAGCAAATGCAGTTGTGCAAATGCTAAAATGGTGTAGATAGAAAACTGTGGTTTCTTTACAGTCATTCTGAAGGAAAAAGCAGCTGTTGTATAGCAGAATGTATGTTGAAATTCTTTGCCTGAAGTTTTTTACCAGTGAGGTTAATCTCAAACAAGATAGCATACCATAAAATGAATGAAACTACAAATTTGAATTTGCAAAGGCCATTTGCAAGAGCTTCTGCATCTGCATGCACCGTATTGCCAGATGATCTTGTTAGGGTAATATCATCAGAAATTTCAACGAGTGCATCATAGATATTTCCAAGCTCACACTAAAGAGGCTTCAAGGCAGCAATTCGACTCTCCCATCTTATTTGACATGATGGTTTCAGAGTTAGAGTATGCAGATGGCCACGAAGAACTTTCCAACAGTGTGTTGAACTTGAAAAAAAATTATAAGTGTTACACCATGGCTATGTCTACTCTAAAAACTTTGTCGCGCCCAAGGATCGTATCTGCTTTTTCAAAAAAAAAAAAAAAAAAATCGGAAAAGCAGACTCATTTTTTTTGGCATCCTTGTAAACCTTGTTTACCAGGAGGAAGGGATGTTCTGAAAGAGGATTTTTTTCTGACATTTGGCCTCGTGTAGACGGGCTAAATGTTGGGAAAGCCTCTTTCAGAAGAAAAGCAGAAAAAGTTATGCAAATTGCAGTTCGCAATTTGCATATCTTTTTCCGACTTTTCCCTGCAGTATAGACATAGCCCATGTAAAAGAAACTATTTGCCATGAGCGAGTAGATTGCATTATTTGTTGAGCCCTGTAAACTAGAATACTATTTATGTTAAACTGAAAGATAAATGAATCAACATGATTAGTAAGAATGATTAAATGTGGAGTAAATAATGCACAAGGAAAAAAATTATGAATTTACAATGCCACCGGACAAGAGAGCACATGGTTCTCTAACTACTGAAACCTTTACTGGTGAGCTAACGCTCATGCAATGACATCATAGTAACATAAATCTGGTAAATTTTAATTTTATTTTATCATTTCAACACTCACTCAAAAATATTTAAAAATTAAACAAAAGTCCAGAATTTCTATTATTATTGAACATTATTGCAATTAAAACAGAAAGGAAAGTATATGTTAAGTGGTATTTGTTAACATTAGGGGTGTGTCTAGACTACGGGGTTTTTTCGAAAAAAGTGGCCTTTTTTCTAAAAAACTATACCTGCGTCTACACTACCACCATGTTCTACACTACAGTAAGTCGATAGAACGCGGCAGTTTTGTCAATGGCGGTAAACCTCATTTTACGAGGAATAATGCTATTTTCGACAGAGTTCTGGCTTCTACCACTTGCACCTCATCCCCCATTCCCTGTGCCTGGTCCTGACTGTCCCCCTTATCCACCTGCCCCCGCCCCCATAGACTGTCCCCCGAGAGCGACTTACCTCCATCGAGACAGTCCCGACAGTAGACCTCCCCATGCCAAACTGATGTCCCACGGAGCGGTAGCTGTCAGGGTGGCCAGCTTCCACAGAGCAATAGCGACATGCTTCTCCAGAGGGATGGCGGCCGCAAGTGGGTGTCCTGGCATTAGCAGGGCAGGGGCAAGCCAGGCACAGAGCTCCTGGAAGGTGGACTTCCGCATCTGGAAGTTTTGAAGCCACTGGTCATTGTCCCACTGCTCCATAACAAGCCGGTCCCACCAGTCTGAACTGGTGTCCAGCTTCCAAACTCGCCTCTCCAGGAATAAGTTTGGTTGCAAGGGCAGTGGGGCTGCATCCCAAGTGAGGGGCTCAAAGCTGGGCTCTGAATCCAGCTCTGCCACAAACATCACGATGGTCTCATGAAGATGCAGCAGAACTTCCAGCATCACAGTGTAGGGCCATCACCTGCCCAGGGGCAGCTCAGGCTCCATGGCCAAAAACACAGTGAAAAGCACAAAAACAAACCTGAAAACAAAATGCGGTGGTGTCCGAGGAAGCAGGGCAGCCAGAGCAAGAACTGCAGCAGCTTTGCTTTCCCTCTAGGAGGTAGGCAAGCCAGAAGCAGGAGCTTAAAATAAGGGATAAGGGATCTTTCGGAAAAGGCTTTATTTTCCGAAAGATCCGCGTCTAGACTGGTGCTTTTTTCCGGCAAAGCTCCGTGCCGAAAAAAAAAGCAGCAGTCATTTTTATGCTAATGAAGCGGGGGAGATTTAAATCCCCGCTTCATTAGCAATTGCGAGACCTCTAATTTGCATCCCTTTTACGAAAAAGGGATGCAATCTAGTGTCAGCCAACGGTCAGGGCTCCCTATATCTGTCCCTTAAGACCGGCTGAAGTGCTTTTAAATTGTGCTTGGTTCTGTTACAGCAACTGAAGGCCTGTCATGATAGACATGGATTTTAGTGGTATAGAGAAAGGGTTTGCCCAGGAAGGTTGGGGCAACCCAAAATGGGATAGAAAAACATTAGAAAAGGATTGGGGAAATCCTGAGGAGTTGTGGGTGCAGTTCTGTAAGTATAGAACTGCCTGCAAGCTAAAGAATGGGACAAAGCCTGAGTCTGTGGAAAGGAGCCACTTTCCATTTAGCAAGGAAAACAGGATCAGGCCCAGGCAAGCAGGCCGAAAAAGGAAACAGGATCAGGCCCAGACAAGCAGGCAGGTAACAGATAAGATTGAAAGCCTTGTGGTAGAACTGAGAAAAAGGCTGTAAGTACTGGAAATCTAAGTCCTTAAGCATACTTACAAGAGTAATATCTGAAACAAGGCCAGTTTTTATTTTAGAGATAAGAAAGTGTTTTAAGAAAAGAGAATCAGAGAATTTAAACTCTGCAGAGAATGGAGAGCAAATGCAGTTGTGCAAATGCTAAAATGGTGTAGATAGAAAACTGTGGTTTCTTTACAGTCATTCTGAAGGAAAAATGGGCCCTTTGTCCAAAGGAATGTCTGTAAATAACCCAGGCAAATTTGACTCAAATCTGAACATTTGATTATAGATACTGCTAAAAGAACTCTAAAGGGAGGGAGTTCTATTGGAACTGAACTACCCCAATGAATAAAAAGGGAATGTAATTGTTGTACAGCTATGTAGAAATAGTGTAAGAAAGGTTCAGAGAGAATGTATGTGTATCTGTGTGTAGATATATATATAGTGTAAATATATGAAGTTTTCAAGGTCCAGTAATCTTGTTTGTAGGTTTAAAACAAATTGGTTTGGTTTACTTTTAGTCCAAGTTGTTTAATGAAAGTACAGGAAAACTGTAAGCATAAAGAAAGAGTTACACTATATGCAAAGTTTAATGTGGCTAAGTAGTGTTGTAAACAAAGATTGCACATTTTCCTGTAAACTATAGAATGAGTAAAAAAAAAAACTGCAGACAGATTAAAATGCTGTGAAAGCTCCAGGAGCCACACCAGGTTGTGATTTCCTTTGTGGTGCAAATGCCCTAGCTGGCAGCACAAAGAAGCTTTGCAGGTAATAGCTAAGTTTGATTAGCAAACTACCTGAGACCAGAAAGTTCAAATTGTAGCCCTCCAGAAAGAAAGAAAAAGGAGGTATTGGTATTGCTATTCTAGTCCCAATAAGAGGTTGGGTATACTAGGAAAAGTTTAAATGTAAGCAGTCTTTTAAGAAGGCAGAGAGAAGACTGAGAAATTGGCATTTGTAAAAGATGTTACCCCTTTTGAACAAAATCTTGCAAAG